CCTCTCTCTCTCTGTCCCCCCCTTCCCCCCCATGATCTCTTTCTTTCTTAAAAATGAATTAACATTAAAAAACAAAAAAAAGAGGCGTTCTGTTTGCTTCTCAATAAAGACGTGGCTTTGGAACTACAAAAATGTCCCAGAGTTTGAGCTTCTAAGTATATTTATGTTAAAAATCCGAGGTGGTTCCCCCTCTAGCTTCACCTCAGCCTCCAGTCACAGCAGCTCTTTGCAAGCTTGACCTGCTTCCTGCCCTCCTCTTCCCGGCAGACCACCTGGGCCTGGGCAGATGTATTTAAACAATAATACGGCCTAGACGGCCAGGTGTTTTTCACTCCCTTTACTGCTCTCTCTTTCCCTTCTCTCTGCCCCAACTTTCCCCATTCTGTCCAAAACCCTCCCTACAAAAATCTCCCACTCTGCTCGGGGCCAAACAGGGCAGTGGGCTTTGAAAGGAAACACACCTCGTCAGCAGAAGGATCCTCTCCTTTCTCTTCGAGGCTCAGCTCCTTTCTATTTCCACTCCTTTGGCCAAAGGGTAAGAGCAGAGCTTTGTTCTGCCTTCAGTTACCGCTTCCCACAGATGTTCTGAAGAGTGAAGAGCCCCCGGCGAGAGCCCCCGGCGATTTCCACAATGACCGCCGGATTGAAATACTGGGTCTCGCTCAGACAGCTGACCTGGGGAACCAGCTGGAAGCTTTACGGGCTAAGCGGAAATGGCCTCTCGTCCACTTGTGAGGTGATTCATCCCTCCCTCTTCATGACATTCCTTCTGTCCACGTGTTAAAAGGAAAGAGGGGGGGGAGCAATCACGGGAAGAACAGGATGTGGTCCGTGGAGTGTGTCTGGTGAGTCTGGAAATTGGCTTCGTCTTTCAAGCAGCAGCTCTGAATCCTTACCTGAGTTATCCATACCTTTAAAAAGACAGTGAGGGGCACCTGGGAGGCTCAGTCGTTGGGCGGTTGGGCGTCTGACTTTGGTTTAGGTCACGATCTCCCCCTTTGTGAGTTCAGGCCCTGCATTGGGTTCTGTGCTGACAGCTCAGAGCCTGGAGCTGCTTTGGATTCTGTGTCTCCCTCTCTCTCTGCTCCTCCCCTGCTCATGCTTTGTCTCTCTCTCTCTCTCAAAAATAAGTAAACATTAAAAAAAAAATCAGAAAAAAAAAAAGAAAAAGCTGCTAACCCAAGTATCTCTAAAGGTGGCAGGGAAGTAAATCTGAACCACAAAGAAATTTCCAAGGCCCTAGAAAATGCAGTTAACGTTATACAAAACAAGAAGATCAAGAAGAAAGGGCTCCTCAAGAAAAACTTTAATTCCCCGGGTGGCGGAGGGGGTCGAAATTTCTGCAGTTGTAGGTATAGGCCTACCCTTTATGTGAACTCATTCCCACTCCGTTCGAGGGAAGAATAAACCCTTCCGAATTACAATGGATCGATCTGTCTAGAGTGATTTAAACACACCAACAACTCAATCTCACGAAAATGGTTTATTTGCTTTTGTAAACATTTGTTTTCCTACTTCTTACTCTTCATTGTAAGGTGGGTTGACAGTTTTCCAAATGGTACATTTCCAAACATGTCTGCTTCATTAAAGCCAACTTATTTCTAGACACTTGTTTATTAAGAAAAAAAATTTTTTAATGTTTATTTTTGAGAGAGAGACAGAGAGACAGAGTGTGAATAGGGGAGGGGCAGAGAGAGAGAGAGAGAGAGAGAGAGACACAGATTCTGAAGCAGGCTCCAGGCTCTGAGCTGTCAGCACAGAGCCCGATGCAGGACTTGAACTCACAAACTGTGAGAGCCTGACCTGAGCCGAAGTCGGACGCTTCACTGACTGAGCCACCCAGGTGCCCCATGTTTATTTATTTTTAATGTTTATTTTTTTTTGGGAGAGAGAGAGGGCAGGGGGAGGAGCGGAGAGAGAGGGAGACACAGAATCTGAAGCAGGCTCCAGGCTCCGAGGTGTCAGCACAGAGCCCGACGCGGGGCTCGAACTCAAGAACCGCGAGACCGTGACCTGAGCCGAAGTCCGACACTTAACCGACTGAGCTGTCCAGGCGCCCCTAGACACTTGTTTAGAGTCAGGGTGAACTCACCCTCTGGCTCAATAAAGAGCGACTACCCCAGTCAGAGGAGGGGGGCTGGTGTAGCTCTTGCCGCATCAGAAATCACTCCAAGCTCAGTGGCTCCACGTGGCAGGGGTCGTTTCTTGCCCGCACAAGTCTGCGGGGGTGAGGGGACAGCAGCCTCCCAGGCCGCCTCCGTCTGTGTGTTGGCTCACAGTTCTAAGCCGCCTGAACCCTTCAGCCCCTCGATGTCAGCGCTTTACTCCCCTGGTCACCTCGGGCGGCGGAGAAGGATCTGGAGGGACGCCCACCAGCAATCACTCTTTGGCCAAAGCCAGGCACCTTGTGACCCGCAGTTTTACGGAGACCGGGAAGCCTGGTGGCGTCGGGGGGCCCGGAGGAAGGAGCGAGCCACGAGATGCTAAGACACGTGATGCCTGCCGCGGGTGTTGTCAAAAATCCACCTTCGTGCCGTGCAGTCAAAATATAACTTAAAGACAGAGTTTGGGGTAAAGAGGAAGAACAGCTTTACTGCTTCGCAAGGGAGGCCGCGCGGGGGTGGTGGTTACAGGGAAACACGCAGGATCCAGCCGGTTTCCCCAGGAATTGTGTGCCTTCCGCCAGCCTTGTCCGTCAC